TGCTGCGCCCTCCCACAGCGACCAAGCTCGGCGTTTGATATCTCGAGCATTGGCCAAGCTGGGGGACTCAAACGATGCGTCCCATTGGCGTCCCAGTGGCATCCCCGCAGGCGTCATTTATTGTCACCTGGCGTCCTAGAAATGGCCATTTCCGCCAGTGCTCCCATCTGCACTCTTGCGCCAACGGCCGAGTTGGGCGAGTGGAGATGACAGTAGCATTCCGGCGAGGGGATGAAGACAGCATGAGTGAAGTCATTTTGTGCCTTTCATTGCCTTCACACGTCAGTTACTGTGTCCGCTTCAGGCTAGAGACCCCACCAGAGCGTCATGGCAAGTTCAGCGATGCACACCGCGCAGGTTCACGCCGGAGGCTCACCTCTCCCCGTGCGAGATACGCACCGCGGCGCCCAGCAGGCACGCCGCCACGATGGCCAAGGGGCCCAGCAGTTGCGTCCCGCTTACCATCCCTTCCAAACCTCCTCACAGCCCCGCGCCAGCGCCGTGGGCGCCAACACACTGCGGGATCGGCCTCCTGCCGCGCCCGCCAACCCGAGGGAGTCGCGTCATGCGGCACCTGGCGCGGGAGATCATGCTGGGTCAGGTCGCTCGCCCGGCAAGCGGCCCAGCGGATCCACCAACTGGGGCCGGCCTCACGGGATCCTGGGCAGTGATGGCCAACAGGCGGCGCCTCTGTGCACCTTCCAAGAGGACGGGAGCTAGCACGGCCTGCAAGTTTGGAGTGGCTGTCTGTGTGTATATATACACAGTCTATATATAGATACCACCATGTGCAAACAAGAGTTGACACACCACTTGTCAGCTATGCAGCTTACCACTCTGGGTATACCCAGACTGACTGGGCCAATGGTGTTCTGCGAGGTCCTCGACATTAAGAGCACAGACAGTGCAAGCGAAGTGGGCTAGCCTGGCCAGAGATGCCCTGGTCCATTGGGACCATGTGTGCGGTCTGAAGTAGCGAAGAGAGGCATGTATTCTCGGATTTTCTTATAGAGTTGAAGGCATACCTGTGATGCGTATGGGCACGTTCATGCAAAACCCTGAATGCACTTGCAAGCGCAAAGGTGTGAGGCTCGTATTACCGTAAATCATGGAACACGCACCGTCCATCTGCACAGTACATCAACCTTCCCCTTTCAACGGTCCCCTTCGCCCCTCCATTCAAGGGCGCCAGGTGAGCTCACAATTGCACTAATTGAGGCTCGTTGGCTTTGTCTAAGCCCACTATCGTTGAGCCGTGCGGTTGAGGGTTCATGAGATTTGTTCCAGGACGGCAACTGAGTGTCCCCAGCAAGCCTGCGCTGGGGTCAAGAAAGCGGGGGCCAGTTTCTTGCCCCCGTGCTATCCTGCGAGGTTCCCACGTTTGCATTCAGTCGATGAATCAACAACATCTCCGCGCTGCCACATGGAACAATGGGCCAATTTAATGCATTGAATGCCAGTCTAAATAAGGACGTCGATCACAGTCAAAGTGGAAAATATGGCGACCATCAAAAGATGCAGTGACGTAGCGCAGGAAGCCGTAAGCATGTTAACATTTTGCGACTTCTAGCACTGCGCCGCTGCATATCCTGATAGTGAACAAGGATGTCTCATCATGCGAGCTGCCCCACCCCACCCCCAGCCCCAGCCCAAGCAATGCTAAGGGCGTCATCTAGGGGCCCTGCCGCTATTCAATGCGGGGGGTGTTGAACGCAAGTCGGTCGCGTTTCATCGCAGTACGACATCCAAATACGGATGTCAGTCAAACTGCGTCACTAATAGGCAAATAGAAGCAATTGTATAAAGCTCATCCTTGTCCCGTCCAGCCAGGGGAAGGCTTTGACAGACTGGCGTTGAGTTTCAGTTGCATTCCAAAGTCCCTTTCAAGTGTTTCAAGGCTGCAAATCAGCCCGACCGCCTGGCAGTATCCGTACTGCCCTCACTAGGAAAAAAAGGGCCAAATAACACGTGTTCAAACGTGTACGAAGTTTACGGGTTTGTGTTATTTTTGTGTTCTTGGCGTGTAAAACTATGATAAAATGTGTTTTATGTGTGTTCCCAAAAGTGTTATTTGGCCCTTTTTTTCCTAGTGCCTGTGGGTCATGTTTTATCATCAAGATAAACTTCAGACAGTAGCAGGTTTCCCTGCGCACCATGCCCTGGCGCTGTGCGTCGCCTCCATCGCAGCCCCCTCCTAGTTTAAAGCACTGGCGGCCGCCTAATTGCCAGGTCATTTCAGCGCTTTCTTCCAGCATCCCTGGTTCATTATTCAGAGTCAGCTTGACAGCTACCAAAGTCTTAGTGAAACGCTATAATATCTAGCCAGCACTTCACCACTGTGTAGCCATATTCTTTTACACCTTTTTCTTCATTGTTGTAATCTCCTTAGCTGTTTTTCTTAGCATCCAATCCCTGCCATGAACTGCCAGCGGTTCTTTCAAAGAAAACTTCCTTCCTTTTTTTCCTTTTTATCAGCGAGCATTCACAGCAACAAACCTTGGAATTCTGTGGTCGTATGACTGTAGGTTCAGCAGTCACATCAGGCCCATGTAAGGACTACCGTAGTCTCACATTAGGGCCCGTATTTTTAATATGTGTATTCACACATAGTCGTGACAAGCTGCAGTCCTTCACACTGGACCGTGCATGAACTTAGCAGCGCCGCCTTGTGTTTCTTTCCTGTTCATCTTTATTCGTTGTTCACACTTCAGCTGCTATTTCTTCAGCTATTCTGTTCACCTCGCATTGTTAGTGAACCTGGCTTTTGTTCACCCAGTTCTTGGTAATCTACGGCAGTTCTTTTAATTAATACTTTTTTTTATCCAGTTCTTGCCCATGTGTCCCGTTGACATCCCTGGGCTGAACGTTTCAAGGCGATCTATTCACGCACGCAGCTGGTAGTCCTTTCTTGGTCAGGTCCTTATGTAGATAAGAGTTACAAGGCCCATCATCCAAGTAGCAATCAAACACAACCCCTCGAAGCTGCTTAAAAATGGATACAGTTGTGTCCATCAAATCGAAGCTTCTGACGCTGCCTTTTCATGAAACAAATCCATCGCCTTTTCGAAAAGCTTCCAGCAGTCATGCTTACGAACTGTCGAGCTCCAGTCAGGCGGTATCAGTGCTCTTCAGCATGTCTAGAGCTGATCAGCCACTGAGGGATTGCGGCTTGCCTTGCTTCCTTGGCCTTTCTCCTACAGCCATTGCCCAGGCAGCATGTTAGGTACCATAAACCATAAAGGCACAGCAAGCCTCTGACGTTCTCTTGATATGCCGTTTACATAGTAGTTCTCCCTTGTTCTTTTTATGAACGCATATCTGTTTTTTTCTTCACTGGCTTCTCTTTTCTTTTCACTTTCACCCTGACTGGATGTTTGATAGTGGCGCAGTCAGCTGCCCTATGTCAGTCATGAGTCCGCCTTTGATGTACCGGTGCTCATGACTAACGGAAGTTTTAAGAATGAGTTTACACAGGGCTGCAAACTACACGATTTTAACAAACGTGTGCTCTGTGATCGGTACACGCTTGGTGCACGACTCTTTCACGACTTTTATATAAGCATAACACGATACACGATTCCCAGATGATTTTCTACTAGTGCCTGAAGGGAAAGATCTGACCAAGCAAGGCGCCCATCCCCGCCATACAGCCCGCATGAAGAGGGGTGAAGCAAGGGGGGTGTGCCGACAGAGAAGTCGTGCAGTCTGTTTGCCAAAAATTGTCACAGCATTCCCAAAAATTCTGTCCATGGCTCAGTCGCGATATTTTCTCTTCGGTGGACTCTCGCAACCGCCGCCTCAACATGCACGAGAAACGATCCATCATGCTGGTGTGATGGCGACTGCATGACAGAAAGCCGTGATCACACTATGAAGGCCGCTCTGGCCTCTTCGTGAAGAAGCCATGATCATGGCTTAGTTTGATGTAATGCAACTATGTAGTGTCCTGGCGTCCCCGCCCTGGTACCCCTCAGCGTACCTGACACCTGTGTTAGGGACGCTCCTCAGCGCGCAAGCACAATGGGGCCATCCAGATGTATCGGGTGGGCAGGAAAGGCGTTGATCTAGGCCTTATCACAGTGACCGGCGCAAGGCCTGAGGCCAATTTTCGAGTTGGCCGTGCTGAGCGAAGATGCACTGCGACAACACAGTCGGCCGACTAAGGGCAAACGTTCACTCGACTTTGGTACGCTTGGTGTCAGTTTAACTTTAGGATCACCCTCCCCCCCCTCCTCAGTTTCAATCCTTATGTCGACGCCAGGATGATTCAGCAACATTGCCTTCCCGTGCAACACAGCTTCGCGATGTTTCTAAGCAACTCAGCAGCCATAGTTGCAGCGATTGTAGTGGTTTGGAAGCTGGAATGTGCAAGCCGCGCCAACAGTGGGACAGCCCCTGAAGTTGTCAAGCCAGACAGTGTGGACCATCCTTGGAGATGGGACGCTTGGCGGAGGCCCTGGAACAATTCAAGAGTTTCCTCGCCAATGATCCACGTTGTTTAGGGCATCTTCACAGCTTATGTCGATCTTGTGGTAATTACATTACCTCTTAGCGTCATAAGTACGGAAACTTCACCCCACCCCCACCCCCTTGTGTGTCAAGCTATCACTGAGCGTAGCAAACTCGACATAGCGCCTTCCCCTAAGTTAAGCAAGAAATTAAGTGATTTCACTGTGGAATAAAATACTGCTGAAGTAAGCAATTTGCTTGAACTTCCACCACAGTAAACCCACTGCAATCTGATTTCCGACTTGCGGACGCACTGGCGATACCATAAGGACATTTCCCCACGGCAAATTTGCACCACGGCGCATTCAAAACCGGCTCTGGACTGCCATCTCGTTACAGCCAATGTCCCGCACGCACTGGCGTGCAATCACCACCACAAGGCCAGGTCCCAGCGCAGATTGAACCCCAGAGCACACACATACCTCACGTTTGCTGGCATGCCAAGCGCATCCCAGACCCAACGGCTTTCATTCCCATAGCGTCGTATCATTTCACCGGAGTCGCGAGTACACGCCGACCTCAGCGCGCCTCCGACCCAAATAATCTACAGTGTACACACACAACATCGCGGGCGCTTCAGCAGCAGCCCCTTGGGCCAACGGCCAAATCAAATAATCAGGTTCTCGTCCCCCCAGCCTCCCACCCTCCCCACAAAAAAGTAGCGTGCGCAACACGCTTCCTCCCAACCCTTCATTCCTTTCACGACCGAATTCGGCAGCAGCACCGCACGCCCGCCCCTCGCTTGGCATTCCACCAGGTGTGCCTCGCTCGTCCACGCGAGGCAATTCGAACATTCCCGCACAGAAGACTCCACCCCCTTGCACCCAAATCAGAAAATTTCAAGCCCGATAGTACACAAGGTATTCTGGGTAGGCCTGGGCGTTGTCGAAGACGGCGTGCATGGTGGGCTCCCGCAGGCGCTGTCCATGGGGCTTGGGGGCCGTGGTCTCAGCCACAGAGTCTGCTCCCTCGGGCGGTCTCCGCAGTCCCACCCGTCCGGGCGCTGATCTCCCCAGCGACACTCGGCACAGGAGCATGGCCACCACGGGAGCCTGCCCTGGGGCGTTGACAACAGAAGCCTGGCAGAACAAGCAGTTGGACTGGTGTAAATGGCTGTTGCATTGCGTGGTGTTGCCCTCTGATATGCTGTATTGCGCTGCACTGCACTGCACTGTACTGTATTGGATTGTACTGGGCTGTGGTGTACTTGACTATACGGGGCTGTCCTTGTGCATACAACAGGGGGTGAGATCTCCTGATTTTGGCGCAGCGCATTGGGCATCAGGTGAGCAGGGTTTCAGTAGTCAACACAATTTGAAAATTCATTAAAATTGTGGCAACGGACGAATCGTGTAAGCGCCGAGAAGTTGCCATGAAGGTTATCTCTGACCACAGCTGACAGGTGCAGTCCCCGAACACAAAAGACTGAATGCCAAGCCATTGCAATAAACAACAGTCAAGCGCCGCCCGGTCAGCCCTGCTATGTGTCATTCCTGCCACATCGACGCGTTAAGAAAAAGTCTTGTCAACATTACATCATTCAGTTCCCACCCTGACCGAGATACCCTGGTTCGGCTGTCCACGACTGGCGCTTTGTGTCACTGTATTACTTTACGCCTGTTAGAACTTACCTGCAGTAGATTCTTGCCCGCACAGGGCTTGGACCTTGATGCAGCATTCACAGCTGCCCTGAGACTGACCCCTGGGCCTCCGAACAAGGGCGCCTGAGCTGAGAACTGGTGGCTGTAGCCGCTCGACACGGAGAAGTACGTGCCAGCCCCCAGGGCGCCATGGATGTTGCTCAGGCGATGGTCAAACCCATCCCTGAGGAAACAAAGCCATGCATCAGTAGGTACTGGGCACACCAAGCACCTATATAAAGGAGGGTCTCAGATTGTCTAAATGTGTCCTAATGTGTCCTGAACCGCCCCAAAGTGTCCCAAAGTGTGGCGCCCAGTAGCGTCACGATGCGATAATTTGAATGTGCCCTGAAGAGTTGCCCAAATATCCCATGTTGCGTTTGTTTCCAAACCAAAACTGCATTCCACATGCTACAGCACCCAACTAATCTGTTGACAACTCTCCGCGAGTTCCGATGGATCAACAGTCTCTGTGCAATGGAAGGAAGCAGAGATTCCACACCTTGTGATGGCCTCGAGTGACAGCAGCCCGGAGCCGTGCCACAGCATCCTTTCATTCACGTTGTGCTTGCCGGCATCCTCCTCGATCTCCTGCTTGCGCATGCAGTATTTCCTCCAAAGCCTCTCATTCTGCACCTGCTGCACACACACCACGGACGACCGGGAGCGCCCCTGGCGCCCCTCCTCAAACCTGGGGGAAAAATGGCATAGTGTGGTTAGGGGCATGTGGTAACTGAATACCCGAGCAGGTGAAGTTATCACTAGATTCGTATCAATTCAGTATTAGCAGTTCACGTGATCGGTTGATGCACTTGCGCATCATTATGCACAGTACGAATTTGAGCACAATGGTGCAAAGCAGTGAAGATTGCCCAGAGAAGAAACACATCACATGGTGTGCTGTTTCACAGCAGCAAGACTCTTACTGAAACTGGAGTTTTCTTTTCAACTGCTGTGAGGACTTTGGGCAATGGGAAGAAATGCAGAGACCGTGATCTGAAGAACCAGTTCGCCATCGCTTCACTGCCCAAGGCAACAGAATTGGCAACAAAGAGTGTTGGCAGGTGGGCAACCAATCAAGAACTACAACTGCACATGCTGTGAACAGCACTCTGGGTGCCAGTGCCTGCATGACTGCCAGTGCTGGGCAGCAACTCTTTTGATCGAGAGGCTGTACGTACCATTGTTGCTGGTGCACATTGATACTGGATTTTGTCACTTTGTTATCACAAAGTTTTTTTTTTCCATCGTAGACAGCTACATCCCCAACCCAGCTGAACCCTGACTCGACAAGGGGATCTGGCCCCTGCGCTTGCAATAATGCTGTCTACACCTGGTGTACTCATGGTTGAGGCATTCTCAAGTGAACTGCCTGTTCCTGTATCCCACTTTGAAAATCTTCTTCCGGGTGTTCTAATCATGCACCCAAGCATGATGTTGAGTATGCCCCTGGCCTGGCTTGGTTTGCTCTAGGGTGAGTGCAGCATAGAACAAGAGAATTGTGCTGCCTTGTTTCGTTGTTGCTGCTAGACATACAACATGGAGGTCAACATTGAACAGCAATAAATCTTTGCACTGTGTCAGTGGATGTCCACCTTGTCCGTTATTTGGAATCACCGTCTGGGTGGTACCAACAACCTTCCTCTGTCCAAGAAAGGTTCATCTAAAGGCGGGATTGGGGTGGAGAGGGACAGTGACGGTCTTTGGTGGGGTAGGGCCACTTATGTTATGGCAGCGTGGGTATGCTGGGACAACAGCGAGAAGGTGCTGACGATGAACAACCTGACAACGGCCCACAGGCAAAGAAACGAGACATATGAACAAAGGACGAACAACCAACTTGCATACAAACGTACTTGTGCAACACATCTTCCAGCCTTGTGCTGACCACAGCAGCTGCACCGCCATCGCTCAGACACTCGATCTGGAAGGACACAGCAGCATCGACGTCCCCGCTGCACACCTCCAGAGCTGCCACTGCATCCTCATAGGTCACTCCACTGTCCATCATCGCCACCAGTTCCTCGTCGAGCCTTGCACCTATCCTGCATTTCTCTGATCCCAAGCCTCGCCTGACATCAGCAGCGGCAGATTCAGTTTGCAGAAATACAAAAAGGCTTGCATTTGTGGACACATGGGCTGGTTTCCACTCCTTTTGCGCCGCAGCCTCATTGTATATTGTAAAAACTACTTGTGTATGCTGTGTTATATTGTGCTTATTCTCTGAAGTCCATACTCCTTTTAGGGCTCATTTGTAGCTGCAAGGCAGTATCAGGGGCAAGCACATTGCTGCTCATTGGGTTACTTGAGAATACCCAGGTAGCTGCAGCACAGGTGTCAATAGGGTGCTGATAAGAGATCAGCAGGGGTCATGGATGCAATTCAGGATTATAGTAAGGCCTTAGAAAAAGCAGGCCCATATTCCCATAATAACAGCATCACGGCTTTGTAGACGATGTCCGCACCTCCCATCGTCCGTGATCCTGTGAGGGCTTTTATTGTTTGACATACATGTTTCACAGTGCTATTCTCAGCCTGTATCTGGTTCCACAACATCTGTCATAATATGGCACAGAGTCTTGGCACCTTCAGTTCAGGAAGGGTGGCCCTTTGTATGACATGTTCCACTCACTCTATCACTACCACAAATACTCTGCATGCCCTTGTCCATTGATAAGCACACATTCCTTGGCTCCCAGGGTTGCGAATAGCACCTGGCCAACAATCCATGCACTTCTCAGGTGATGGCATGCATGTTCGCAGCCCACATGCATGTGTTTCACACCCCAGAGTGTGGGAAGGCAGTTTGCAACTGGCATAGTGCGGCTGAAGGTGACCAGTCAGTCCCAAGAAATGAGCAGGGAGCACACAGGCAACAAGGTGGCCCATCTTGCCTGTACAGGTCGATGTAGTGCACGGGCTGCCGTCTGGAATACTTCCTTGGCGCCCAGTACGTTGGCATCGAGGCGATGCATGCACAGCCCCTTTGCCCCTTTGTCAGCTCTGCCTCCAGTTCCTTTATCCTATCTAAAAACGACTCAGATATGACCTCCAACTGAGCCTGAGCACCACATGGATGCCAATTACACTCCACTGCAGAAGCTTTGCAGCTTTTCGCAAGGTGCTGTCCACTGTGCCAAACCTGTTGGAATTGTGTGTCCGCAGTGCCAATCAAGTTTATATATCACAAATGCATAATAATAACATGGGAATTGTGAGGCAATAACATAATGTATGCGTTGAATTAGTATATATTGTACACTACAAAATCATGTGCCAGTGCAAAATGTCTTTGAATGTGCCAAAATGTGTTAAACTCAACTGTGTCTACAGTGCAATTTGTCATCAGTGACATGTGTGAGCAAAATGACAGTGGCTGCCCTGCACATCCCAGGTGAACTACAGATGACCCCATGGAATGGATTAGATGAACCCATGGAATGGACCATCTCCAGAAACTGCACCAGTTCAATTCTGCGATTAGCTCTTGTGACCCAGCCCCGGCAGTTAGGTCTAGCACACACATCCTAATGGGTCATACAAAGTGTGCTTACAGACACGTTTCAATGTTTAGCCTGCAAGCATGTCTCGCACATGGGTTTCACAAACAGCTTGAACACATTGGGCAGGTTGCTCATAGCAAAGCACAAGACGAGTGCACCACCACTGGTGATCCCCAAGTACATGACCACAAGTTAGTTTTAAGTAGTGTTCTTGCAGATGGAGGGCCACGTTCACCTCAGCTCCCCTGGCCCTCTCCTCAGCCTCCTGGCAGCGCTCTGCCGCCCGGGCAACCATGTGTGCCTGGTGCGCAAGTGCGCTCTTCAGCTGGGCGTCGAGGTAGGCGCTCCTGCGGAAGCTCTGGTAGGACTGCAGGGGCGCTGGAGTTTCCCTCAAAGTGGGGCTAGCTAAACCCACATCGGAGGAATCACTGGCGTGGTCTGGGACAGAATCCTGTGCATCCAGGGGAGAAGCAAAGCCAGCACACGAGGTCAGTCTTGGGGATGGGGCGCTGATGGCGGTGTGCCTGGAGAGCAGGCGTCAAATCCACTGGTTGTATATTTGTCACAACATGACAGGGTGCGCTCACCAAGCTGCAGAGCCAGGCAATTATTGCAAACGCAATGTTCTGAAGCATGTTTGCGACCACCAGAGGGGGTGCGCACGGCCTGGGGTCGCATTTAGTGACCACCTAGCCCCCAGCCGTCCCGCTGTGCTCCTTGCTGCTGTTGCTCGCCAGTCATCTGGCCAGGGGTTTCAATACAAATGGGGTGGAATACGCTGCGGGTAGAAAAGCTTCACAACATGCCTTGTGGAATGGATCGAGGGGTAGGCGTTTGTGAGCGGTGAACACAAACACCAGAACCGCCGCTGTGCCAGGTGTGTGGACAGGTCGTGCAAGATGCCAACTCCTCAACCACAGCGCGGTCATGAGCCTCACTTCCCTCTCTTAGTGTCAGAAGAAACAAGATATTGGACAGCAGAAGCAACAAGTCCTTTCGCACCGAGGTCACGCAAGGGCGAAGAGCGCCCGGGTAGCGCCCTGAGCCCTGATGGCTGTAAACCGTGGCCTCCCGAGCCAGAGCGCATCCCGCACAAGCCTGCGCAAACAGGCCGGGGGGGTGCTCGGTCCACAAGCCCGCAAAAGTCCTTCACAGGGCCTCTCGGCTTCCCATGTAACGCCCCCTTGGAACAGCAAAACCCCCAGGACGCTCAAGCTCGCGGCAGCCAGCGCAGGTAGAGACGAACACCATGCGCGGTACCCCCCACCGGCGATCGCCGGCGGCTCGAGATGGGGAATCGCAAAGCCGAACTGCCTCGATGCACTGAAGCGCCCTCCTGCACTCGAGCAGCCGCCGCACAAGTCCAACGGCTCCAACGGCTCACCGGCCACGCGGCGCGGCCGTTCGCGCCGACCAGCCCCGACGGCCGATCCACAAACCGCTGCGCCCAGATGCCAATCCGGATCTAAACCCCAAAACATCCCCTTCAGGACAGTTCCGTCGGCCAAAGGCCATCCCTGCCTTCCCTCGTCTCAGCCGTGCGGGGATCCGATGTGGGGGGTGCATGCTGCGTCCTCGACTCTGCCAACGGACATGCTCGCCACTGTGCCACACATGTTTGGGCGCACCGCGGCTTCGAAAGCACAGCCTTTTCGCAACCCCAAGACAGGAAATCTTGCGCCGATTCTCCCACTCCTCCCGCACCTCCGACGACTGGGAGGCCCACTCATCGTAGTCGAAGCGCAGGACGTCCGCGCCCGCCGCCGCGCGCTCCAGTACCATCCGTCCCCGCCACTGGCCGCCGTCGCCTCCGGAGGGTGATCCTGGGCGGTCCGAATCCTCCCGCTGCAGCTCGGATGCCAGCCAGTGGCGCCGGCACTGCCCGGTCGGCTTGGCGGCCCCGGCAGCGGGATCCAAGACGTCCCGATCGCGCCAGGCGCCCACGGGCCCGCGCTGCTGCAGCAGGCAATCCGTAAGACGAGAACCGATCCACATGAGCCCACATGCACAGCGAAAAGCGATTGAACGAAGGTGTGGGGAGGGTGGGGTGGGGGGAGCGGGGTCCCGGTTGGCGTCTTGCACAGCGCTCTAGAAACGGCCCAATGCGATGCTCCCCGCGCCCGCCCCTACCCATCCGCAGCCGATCGCGCCCATCCGCCTCGCGTTCTCGCGGCGCTTCGCGTGTGCATTTACGACCCCCCGCGTGGCGAAACGCCGCATGCGAGTACCATGAACTCCGGACGCGGCCCGCCGCGGCTCGAGCCCAACGTAAGCCTCCGGCGCCTCCCCGATCCGCTCGGCCCCCCGGACCTCCACAGGGGATCGGCTGGGGCCGGCCCGCGGTTAGGCGCGCTGGCCCACGCGCTGACCTACGCTTGTTTGACTGCGGCGACCGCGACCCGCCGCTCCACTGCGGCCTCTCGTTAAAGGCGAGCCGCGGCGGCCAAGGTGGCAGGCCCCGCGGCCAGCGCAGGCCCGGGTGCGGAAGCTGGGCGGCTGCTGCTGGCCCCCTAAGTCCGACAGCCGGCCGGAGGGCGGGCGGGGGGGATGGGATCCCGTTTGATCGACGCGGACGGTCTCGCCCGGCAACGCGAGGGCCCTCGGTTCGGGTGGCGAAGGCGCCCGGGTGCCGATGGCCGGAACTCGGCCGGCCGGGATGCGCGGTGCATGGCATCCGGGATGGGGGTTCCGGTCTCAGGGCGATGGGGACCCAAGGGGAAGTGCGCTTTGCGAGCATCGATTCCGAGTTTCGAAGCTTGGGTCCAGTTTGCGATCGGCGCCGCACGTGCTTGCGAGAAGCGCCGCGACGCCCCCCCGCCAGTCGCGGCTTGGAGAATCCTCCTGCCGTGGGCGTCTTGGAAACCGGGCCACTCACCACCGGGGGCTGCCACCAAGGGCATCCCGAACCCCGCTCTGCCGATCCGGCCCGCTTGAGAGCGGCCGCTCTCGCGCCCCGCCTTCGAGGCGCTCCGTTCCCGCCGGCCGCTCTCGCGGGCAGCCCGCCAACGGGACACGCAAGCGGGCCACCACATCCCTTCTGTCAAGCTCGTGGGCGACTCCAGTGCCCATAAGTACCAGACGCCGCTAATTGGGGGTGTGGGATTCGCACGTCGGACTGGTCCCCGAGCCCGTGGTTGCTGCTGAGCTGGAGGTGTTTTCTTTTGTCCCAACTTGTAACGGGCGCGACGTTATGCTGTCGATTCGGAGCCGTCTGGACTCGTGACACGCATGGCAAGTCCATCAAAACTCGCTCCAAGCAACCCGCTCGGAGCAGCCCCGTTCACACGACCAGCCATTTCATACAAGATCTGTTCGCCTTTTCTGATGTCCTCAAGATCTACAGATGCTGTCAAGCACAAAAAGGCGAGATTCCAGCCACGTCAAACATCAAGGCCAACGCACCAATCTCCTTAAATTCAATCATATCAACATCACCAGCCTGAGACAAAAGTAATGTCTCATCTGCATCAAATTAAATACGCACCCAACACAACTTTGTCTGCCAAGGTTCCTGCGCGGCAGGGTTCGGTGGCTCGAGGAAGGGGCACAGGCGCCATCGACTTGAGTGCAGGAGGCCTTGGCACTTCCACCAGAATCCAGGGGGCCGGAACAGCCCTCGATGTTGAAATTACAAGCGTCAATGGCTTATGTGTACACGCGTGCACAGCAATTCGCAATTAACGGAAATGAATGAAATACTCAGAAGTCATGTATGCACCACAACAACAAGGTCAATGTTTCATCCCTTATTTCGCCGCAGATCCAATGCCAAGTCTTTGTCAACTGTGTGGATCCATGTCAACCCTCGAGCAGCCGTGCACGGCCAGCAGTGCACACCGATGGGATCAGCGTGATCCGATGCTTCTGGTGGAGCACTTTTCCGCCAAATGCGGTGGTGACATTGGCCACCTTGCAAAATCTGATCATGTTCTTGAATCACGCTGCGCTGGGAAAGAGAATGCATCCGTGCTGTAAACCACATGGAAAACTCCCGTTCACGTCGATCATGTAGAGTTGTTGTGAATTCTCAACCACCTGACACAAGCCAAGAGCACATTGACAAGATCACCAGTTTTCGAAGATCCGAAACTCACCCCTCAAACCAAAAAAAAGAACAAGTCCAATGTGCGCGCTCCTAGATCTAGGGGCTCTAGAACTGTGGGCATCCGCCAACCGTCAACGCGCCAAGGCAGACTTGCGGATGTTCCAACACGCATTTTATGTCGGGAAAGAACAACGACCTGGGGGCGTGCCGTTTGAGCATCGGGAGCGCCAGAAAGCGTAACCTCTCGAAAACTGGGGAAAAAAGGGCCAAATAACACGTGTTCAAATGTGTACAAAGTTTACGGGTTTGTGTTATTTTTGTGTTCTCAGCGTGCAGAACTTTGATGAAATGTGTTTTAGGTGTTTTCGCAAAAGTGTTATTCGGACATTTTTTCCCTAGTGGAACTGCGCGCAGCATGGATAACATCCAATCATGCAATATTCGTGCACATAGGATTTTCGGTGTTGACTCAAGTCAAGCTTGCCCCGCTCCCGTCCATGTGTTCCAGCCGCACCCTGCTTGGTGCCGTTTTGCCAATTGGACAGGGCCGCGATGTCGCCCCATCCACCAGGCAAAGCAGTATCCAAATGATGAATTTCGATGAAATCTTGTGCACCTTTCCTGAATAGTAATAATGAACAAACGCTGGCTTTACACACTGGAAGAAGCTCGAACGCGATCTAGATGGCTAGTCCACGATATTCAGCAGTCCAGCAACGCTTCAATGCAGATAGAGCCTCAACAATGGCCAAATTTACATGTTCTTTTCTGGAAAGTCTTGCTTTTGGAAGTAATGAGTAGACACAAGTTTGCTCGAACAATCAAATTGTACTGCATATCTTCCATTGAAACGACCGATTGACGATGACTGATAGCTTCCTACACGAGCATCGCGTTGCAGCAGCAGGGAAATACGGGAGCCACTACTCCCTATGCTATGTCCCTGCTTTTTGTCCTGCAGTTGACAGGGCTGCTGTGCGCGCACATTGCCGCAGGTGCACCATGCCACAAACGCCATCGGCAACCTGTTGATTGCCAGCAGTTGCTTCTTTTAATGCAGAACACTTTTGCTGGAGCCCCGTTGCTCGGTCGTAAGCAGGTTTCTATAATGTGGAGTTACACTATTAAACAACAGGCCAGGTGGCACGGTCTGGGCAAAATCTGACCGTGTCATATGGCCTGCTTTTATCTATTACTACTAACGTATTCACGCATGCTCGAAGAGATCATCGCCCTCTGCATGCGTTAATGGGTACTTGGGGCCTTGGTGAGGCGTTCTGCACACCCCATTTACCGCTGTATACGTGGTTGCACAAGATATATTGTGTACTTGTGCGCAATATATTGCGGCGACGTAAGAATGCGCAAATAGAGGCGTCTGGGGGCTAAGCACAAAGGTGTTTGCGTATATTCGCAAGAACACGACCCCAATTGTGGTGCCGTAGTCACAAATAGCAAGCTTGTTGGGGATTCAGTTGACTGTGGACGGTCGTTGGTGTTGCAAACTGCTGCTGATACCAAATGAAGCCAGCCTGTACTCGTTTGTGGCAAGGCCGGGGCCTTTCTGGTTATGTCTAACAAGGCCGCTTAATGCGGCGCGGGCAGCCTGACATGCATCATTTCCAAAGAGGGCAAGTCGCGGACGGGAAGATGCAGAGGGGAAGGTGGAAGGCGCATTCGCCCCTGGTTGAGGGCCACAATTCTCGCGCGATGTTCCGTACTTGGGTCTACTTCAGCGCCAGCTTCGAAGGAGGTATGGTGGAACGCCTTGCTCGACACGGCTGCGTCGTTGCCGGCGATGGGCTGCTGCGGAACGGGAGCAGTGCACTAATGTGTACGAAACCCGAAGGCTTGTAGGCGACAACGGCCGCCGTGGGCTCCAGTAGCATGGGCGCTAGACAGTCCAAGGGGGGTGAGTGCCGAGGGAAGCTAGAAATCTGCGCGTTTCAGCCCGTTGCCCGAGTATCGTGGGTTGAACAATTGGCGAGGGGCCGGCGAATAGTCGATCAACGGCGGCTGGGCACATTGATTGCCGCCCGAGACAATGAGGTCCCTTGAGCTGCCGCGCCGCGCTCCCAAACCTGACGGCGATCGGTGCAGAATATTCGAGACGCCGCGCGGAGGGGATGAAGAGCAACCCTAGGGGCAGCGTGGCCAGCATGGGACCGGCTCTTGAGGGCAGTGCGGAATACTCGCACGTGCTCCGGAGGGCGTCCGCCATGCCTGGGGTCGTTTGAACGTTCAGCCGCTGATGATGATGATGAATGTCGCCCAGCTGGACGCGTTGCCAGGAACGGTTTGGCCTTGTCTCCTTCTCTTAAGCTTTTCCACTGTGTGTAACGGGCGGTTTGCCGAGCTGGGTCCATGGGGAACAGCCGGGCGCTGGAGGGATGCCGGTCACATCACGCCGCCTGCAAGGTGGAAGGGGGCTCATAGTGACATCTATTCACCTTCGTTTGGCATAGAGCGGCGCAGGAATTTCAAGGTGCTTGGGAACATGTTGTCGTCTCGGGGGCCTGAGGGTTCATGTTTCGTGGGAGAGAGCACTGGCTGCTGGCTGCTGAGCGTGCTGCTGGCTGTGTTGCGCTTGCAGCAGCATCGGCAGAAGAAGGCCCGACCGAAGGCAAGGAGGGACCCGTTGAGCGTGCCTCTTCCGAAAACAGTGGAGAGAACCACACGGACGTGCAGCGAGATGCCTGCCACGTTGACCCCGTTGACAGCCATTTGGCTGACCGGGTCCAGGACCGCATGCATCACTGGACTGACGGCCGGGTGGGGGACCACAGAGAGCGCCATCACAACGGCACAATGGATGATGATTTTGATGCACTCGGAAGGAAGCTGCGGGCCTTGGTATGGCGTTCGTGAGGGATTGAATTCCTGTACTGCTCAGTTCTCATCCTGTAAGGGGAGGTCATGTGACCTCCTGCCTATCACCCTTGCAGGAAGAACACCCTGGATAGTCCACAGCTGCCAGGCATCTGTTACTGCGATGGGCCCCTTCGAATGTTTGAACTTTCAAGGGCCCTCTCACACTTTGCAGTCCGTCCCTGTTGTGTCGACGTTGCCTTTGGGCAATGCTGTGGGGCATCACTGCCATCGCTTGTTGCAGAAGAGAAGCAGGTCTTGCATGGGGGACACCTCAGCAGAAGCTGTCACTTTCTTTTCCTCCTGAGAGGGAGCACA